AAACTTAGTATGTGGTATGGCATTTCTTCTGACTCAAATTTTGAGTCATCGACTGTACTATTAGAAAATGTGTATAAGACTTAAAGAAAACACAGGGAATAGCTATTCAACATACTAGCTATTTCCAGTACCTTTTGGAATAGGTATTTACTTTTTGTATTATTGGGATTTTGGAATATCTACTACTAGAATAATCAGGATTATTCTTTTTTTTCTGAGCTGGTGGATGATGGGAGTACATTAAGAAATAAAAATTTCAGCTGTAGAGTGAGGCATTGAAAATGAGGGACTTGGCTGAATTCTTGACTCTTCCATTTTTTGGAATTCCTGGGAAAACCAAGAAGGATCTTGGATCACATTATAGAACTCCATAAGTATTATGAAAAAAAACACCTTAAGGCAACTTCTTTATATAATAGTATAGAGGTAATCAGTAAACATTTTTTTCCTTGTGGTAAAACAAATAACGTTGTTTGATATTAGAAAGTAACATCTTTTTTTACCAACTTAATTGCTCTTGAAATATGTATTGGTAACAAAGAGTGAAAAGTAGCATAGTCATGGTATGCTTTGCTTGTTGCTTCAATAGGATGTTATACAACTTTACTTGCAATGTTATCAGTAACTCTATATTCTTCAAAGAATTAATACTAGTCTTAATTTTGGGAACTTGTTGTTGTAAATTGAAAAGAATTCTTTCCAGTTTTATTTCTTCTGTTTTAATCTTGCTGTGGTAAAAAAGTCTTCCCTAAAAGTGTTGCTAGTGGGTTTTATTTTCTTTTGGTTTTTAGTAAAGTTGTAGGATTTAACTGTATTTTTAATTGGGCTTTTGCTCACATAGTCTTTCAAGTAGTATGATATCAAGGAAAATTATAATAATCCTTTAATTTATTGTGTGAGTTATTGATGTAAATTTTTCTGCATATTATGATATAGCACTCTAATAGTTCTGTAATTTGCTTTTAAGAGTTTAATGGGGTAAATAATGGATTTTTGTTCCATTTTAATACAAGACAGTATTTGGGGACCTTTTGATGAATTAGTCTGGCATGAAAATGTGATTTTGAAAGAGCATAGTTCTATGTAATTTTCTGCTACTTTTTCTTTTAGTCTTGCCAGAGTTCTTTAGTGAAAGAGACCTTTGTCTTAGGATTTATTTTTTTTAGTAAACTGAATTAAAATAGAAAAAAAATTACAATCACTTTTCACAGCTATGGTTTCCGTATTTGCTGTATTCCAAAACAGTGGGGACTATATACTTGTACATTTTGAATTTGGGGTTTTAGACTTTTTCTGTTACAAGGATAGCAAAAGTACAGTTTTGCAGTAAGTATTCAGTTTTGGCTGAAAAGGATTAAATAGCTAAAGGTAAGAAATAACAATCTGTTTTTCAGTTGAATCACTTTCAGTCAAAGTGTCTTTAAAAAAGATAGGGTTTGGTTAAGTTCATTGATGGTATTCTGTATTTAGTACACTAATAGCATATGGTAAAATTCCCTTCTTCTATGTACAGATGAATTATACAGCTTCATAAAAATGTCCTACTTCCAAAACCTTAGAATTCTACCGGTTATCCAGAGTCAATCCATTCAATACCATTGAGTTTCTGCAAAAATGCTTTCTGTAAAGAGGTCGTAATTGTTAAGCACCAAGAGGACATTCTGTGACTCTGGATTTAAAGCAAGTGTCGCTGTAGGTTGCCAAATGTTTCTTAAACCAGTAAGCAAAGCAATAAAATCATTGTCATTCTATCTCACAAACATTTATAAAGGTATATATTTCTCCTTATGTTAGTCATAGTTCCCGTATAATTAAGTATGGTGCTTTAACTGAATACTTTAAATTGAGCACTTTAAGTATTGCAGCAAAGTAATTGATTTCTTCTAAGCCTGCCAGTGTATGTACAAGGTAGACTCGGTCATTTTGACAAGAGTCTGAAAGCCTGTGAATAAATAAATGAAGTGAAAAAAAAAAAAGCAGTCTTTGATTTTTTTATTCTTACTGAAGTGGTGAAAAATGTCTCTTAGTTTTACTTTCTGTGTACAAACTGTGTTGCTTAGTAGGTGTTATTCTGCTTTAATATTTAACTGATTGATCATAGCCAATGGCAGAGCATATAGCAAGAGTTTGAATTTTGTTTAGAGCTTTGGTCCTTGGCCAGTAGGGATCTGGAGGGGAAGAAGAAAAAAAATAAAATAAAAAAGAAAACAAAACCAACCCCAAAGTGTAGACCATCCTCCACTCCCACAAATCCAAGTTACAAATATGTATCATAAAGCACCTGCAGTCAAACAATCCTATAGATAAATCTTTTCTGTACCTGCTACTAACACAGTGTTATCATCTAATCAGCAAAGAGTACTAGGGAATGTAGTCCATTTGTATTTACTTTTCATTTTCAAAACTTTCTGATCTAAAAAAATGATATGAGCAAATACACTAGAAGCCCAGTTGTATTTTCTATGAGCATTGCAACAGTTACCATTTGTTTTCTCCAATTACCATGCATGTAATTTTGAAGGACTGTGGAACTTCTTGCAAAAAAAAAAAAAACCCACAACTTTTTTTTCTGAACTTATGTTTCTGAATAGCTGTAAAGAATACAGTTATGCTATATTTTTATTCTTTGAAAAGAAACATAAATTTCAGCCTGTGGAATTCTGGTCATGGCTTACTGGTTTTGCTAAATGTGAATGCGCAAAGTATGCTTTGTGATACTGTTAATAAAAGTGTCCCAAATCTCTGCTTCATGCTGCAGGTGTGCCACTAGTGTTTCTGCTACTTCCACTTTTGAATATCTGGCGTAAAAGCATAAGAATTGCAAAGCCCACTACCTCATTTCTGAAGTGCTCTCAATCTCCCAAATCTTTAACGTTCTGTGATTATTTTTGGTGGATGTTTTGTAGTTTTCTGAAAATATTACATTTTTGTATGATTTGTTTTCAGGAATCTTATGATTGTCACTTCATTTTCTTGAATTTTGGAAACAAAACACTTGGCTAAATAATGTACTTACTTATTTCATAGGTGACTTTGGAATGCTGAAACTTAAGTTTTAGGACAGTGGGTTTGGCCCAGGAAGTTGTTTCCTGGCTGATAACTCACACCAATAAGTTGTACTAGAAGTGATAGAGGTGTTTTAAGAGGTGCTTCCTGGGTTTCTCTGCTGTGATGCGTTTCTAGTACTGAATCAGATTTGATGTATGGTAATGCTAATTTGGGGGTTAGGTGTGTGAGTATCCATTGCTGCTTTTTACTTCTGTGTACAGTCACTCAATATGAGCTGGCAATGGGCGGTAGCAGCCCCAAAAGCCACTGTATCCTGGCCTGCATCACAAGAAGTGTGATTAGAGGGTCAAGGAACATGATTCTGCCCCTGTACTCTACTCTTGTGAGACCCCACCTGGAGTACTGCTGTGTCCAACTCTGAAGCCCTCAGCACACGAAAGAAGTGGGATTGTTCAGTCTGGAAAAGAGAAGACTTTGGGGGGACCTAATAGCTGCCTTCCAATACCTGAAGGGAACCTACAGGAAGGCTGGGGAGGGACTTTTTACAAGAGTGTCCAGCAATAGGACAAGGGGAAATGGGTTTAAGTTGAAGGAGAATAGATTTAGACTGGATCTTAGGAAGAAATTCTTCAGTACGAGGGCAGCAAGACTTTGGAATAAATTGCCCAGAGACGTTGTGGCTGCCCCCTCCCTGGAGGGGAGGCCAAGCTGGACGGAGCACTGAGTATCATGATCTAGTTGAGAGGCGTCCCTGCCCATGACAGGGAGGTTGGACTAGATAATCTCTCCCTTCCAGCCTAGGCCATTCTATGATTCTATGATTCTATGAAGTGTATCTGTTCGAGTGGGTCCAGAGGAAGGACACAAAGATTACTGGAGGGCTGGAGAACCTCTCCTGCGAAGACAGACTAAGAGAGTTGGGGTTGCTCAGCCGGGAGAAGAGAAGGCTTTGGGAAGACCTTATAGTGGCCTTCCAATACCTGACAGGGGCCTACAAGAAAGCTGGGGAGGGACTGTTTACAAGGGTGTGTAGTGGTAGGAAAGGGGGCAATAGTTTTAACTAAAGCTGGGTAGATTTAGATTAGACATTATGAAGTTGTGGATTTCTCCTCCCTGAAAGTGTTCCAGGCCAGGCTGGATGAGGCTTTGAGCAACCTGGTCTAGTGGCAGGTGTCCCTGCCCATGGCAGGGGGTTGGAACTAGATGATCAGAAGGGTCCATTCCAACTCAAACCATTCTATGATGCTGGGAATGTCCCTTGCAATTCCCAAAGTTTGGAAACAAAATTATTGTCATTAGGACTCTGCACATTGATTAGCTGTGCAATATGGAGAAGAGGAGCCTGAGGGGAAACCTCGTTGCTCTCTACAGGTTCCTGAGGGGCAAAAGTGGAGAGGGAGGTGCTGATCTCTTCTCTCTGGTATCCAGTGATAGGACGTGTGGGAATGGTTCAAACCTGCATCAGACGAAGTTCAGACTAGTCATTAGGAAACATTTCTTTACAGAGAGGATGGTTAAATACTGGAACAGGCTTTCTAGAGAGGTAGTTGATGACCCAAGCTTGTCAGTGTTTGAGTCATTTGAACAATGCTCTTAATACATGCTTGAACTTTTGGTGAGCCCTGAAGTGGTCAGGTAGTTGGTGATTATTGTAGGTCCTTTCTAATGGAAATATTCTGTTTTATTAATACCAACTTGTACATCCCTACTTCTATTGCAATGTAATACCTGTATTGCTTCATTTTCTTCTGCTGTCAGAGAATATTATACATCTCTTAACACAACTTTAAAGCAATTATTTCTCTCTTGATTTATCTCCCTTCAGTAATTAAAGTACTGAATTTATAAATTTTTGTAATTGTATTGCATATGCTTAGGATAGAAAGGAGTATGGTCATGATAAAATTTTAGTAAGAAGAAAAGGGATGGACTGGTATTACATTTGTGAAATACTTTTAAAATTTACACTTACATGTTTTCCTTTTAAAAAGGAAATTGTCAAGGAAGCATTAATGGAGGAGCAAAAACGAGGTGAAAGGGCAGTTGAAGAAGCAGTGAAGAGGACAAGAGAAGAACTGATGAAATATATTCAAGAGCAGAAAAGGGTGAGTGCCTGAAGGGTTTCACTTCGTGCAGTGACAAACTGGTGAAGTTTATTAATCCTGAAACTTGTCTTAAAATGTAGAAGAAAACAGAATCAGGATTTGTCACTTTTTTTTCCCACTTTTTTACTGATATATTTCTTCATATATATTTATAGTATTTTTAAGTTTGCAGAGCAGAAATAAATATGTTAGTTGAAATTTACAGTGTTTCTTATTACAGGAATTTAAGGATTGGGCATAGATGCTATCACGTTCAAATTGTGATCTGAGTTCAGTTCATTGAAAGCATTTCAGTATCAATAACAGATGCTATTTTATGTTCACAGATGAACTTTATTGTGCAGTTTTCATGCACACAAAGGTCATTAACTTTTTCTCTCAACCTGTATTATATGACAGCCTGAAAATTTATTGGTATTCTAGTGGACATGATTTATAGCCAGTGCACTATTCTTATTATGAAATGTAATGTTCTGAAACTTGATTTCAGATATTCTGTTAATGCAATACGCTTGCACTTTGTTGCTTGTGTGTAAATGGTAAAATGTAATTTAAAAAACAAGTTTATTTCACTTTCAAGAGAATGAAAAATTAACACACTTCTCTTGGAGGATCTTTATAAAAACAGTACACAAAATTAAAAAAAAACCTCCTTTCATATGGCAGTAGAAGCCAGAGACTAAATTGAGTGATTTCAGTATTACCAATAAAAAAAAATAAATCACTAAACTTGGATCGAATTGGTAATGTTGTCCTGAGAAGGAACTAGAAATAACATATTTGACCTCTTCTGTTCCCTGCTTTTATGGGATGAATATTTTTATGGGAAATAGAATTTAACTTCAGAAGTTTCACTCTGCTGCTAGTGAAGGTTAGTATTGGATGAGCTCTCTTCCATTATGCTGTGCATGGAGAAGTTTCTGTTAGCAGTATGGGTCTTCTTGTCAAAGGCATTTAAGCAGACATCCAGGGCAAAATATTCTCTGTAAGGATGTTTGACCTTATTTATATCTGAAGTTGGTCACTTACAAAAGATAAGCTGTGGGGAAAGTGAAAATAGGTCTACTATGAAAATAGCTTGTCTTATAAATTGGTCAATAGGACAACTAGGCCAGATCATCTAGAATCATAGAATCATAGAATGGCCTAGGCTGGAAGGGACCTTAGTCAAGCTAATGCAGATTCCTCACTGATGACAAGCTAGATGATGCTGTTTCAAACTGACAGTAATTTCCTGCAGGCACTTCAATAGCAACTCATCTGTCCTTAATCTCTTAGATTTCCGTTTTTGTCAGGAATGGAGACTTTCTTCTGTTTTCTTTTGTCCTACACACAAAGTTGGAGCTCATTGCTGTTACTCCATTGTTTGAGTACTATTAATCTGTCTTGTCTTTTATAAAGTTTTCACAAATCAGTGAAACAATTAAAATGTCATCTTCAAAGAAATAAAATCCTCTTTGATTTATCTAGTAGGAGCATAATTTCCGTTAATTTCACAGAGTTCTTGAATATCAGAATATTTGGGGCAACTTTTTTTCCCTTGTGGATTGTTTGACACATGTCTCCGTTCAAAAAAAAAAATCATATGTAAGGGCAGCTAGCTTTTTCTGGCATAAGGTTTATGAAGTCCGTCCATATTTAAGTTGAGAATGGAAAATGTTTTTAACTCGAAATCATTTGGCGTAATAGCTTTTATGTGATTACATAAAAGGCAGAGTAAATGGACTTCAGTCAAAGCCCATACACCTGTCAGAGTAATAAATATGCTTTATGGACTACACTAAAGAGCAGCAGCTTATGGAAGGAATTCCTAGAAAGATCTCAGGGAAAACGCCTAGCTTTCCTGTCTGAGATTCAGTGATAGTTTTATTTCTGTGAGTGACAGGGGAGTCCCATTTACACACTTGCAGAGGTAATGTACACGACATGTTTCATTATTGTTTTGAAAATAAATTTGTAGAATCCTTCAAACCGTGCCTGGCCACAGCAGCATTTGTAGTTGGTTAGCAGTGGTTAAGTGCTTCCGGCAAAGACTTATACACAGATTCTTATCCAGCTTGTTTTGTAATAGTACGAGGTACGTTTCATCCCTCAAGGTAAATGTTGTGTATACCAGTTTTCTAAGTAGTTTGTAACTTGCTTTATTCTATTAAAGCTTTCATTTAGTGAAGGTGCAATAGTTGTGATTTCAGTTCAAGAAAATTACTTGAGTGTTTGTCAAGTTGTATATTTGCTGCAAATATTAAAGTATATTAACGACCATTTACAGCTGTATTTGTTCTTGGATTCTTAGAAGAATTTCTATAACAGTTTATTAAAGTTGGATCTGCCAATCCCACAAGTTTTACAGTACATGATAAATGTAATCTGGCTTATACTGTACTATATATAATAGTAAATATTTAGTTTGAGTTAGAAATAATTAATTGTGAATGACACTTAAAAAATAGGTTTCTTTGATAATTATTTGTAGGAAATGGTTGTGTCAATGCAATATATGAATTGAAAATAAAACGTAGAAATCTGTTGTTGCAGTTCCCAAACTGATTTCAGTTATATTCTAGCTGTACTAGCACTAAAATAGTGGTTACTTTTGAGAGCCAAGGTACTGCATGGCTTCAGTGTTCAGAGACTTACCAACCACAAATCCAGCGTATCAGTGACCTATGTACGCTTTAGCAGTCACTTGGTATACGGTACGTGTGTGTGAGATTTTTCGAATTAGGACAAAGTTACTTAGCAAAAAGCAGATAATTGATGTTCCTTTATCCTTACAGCACTTTTCACCTCTTTTCTTTCCTGATCAGTAATCCTTCAACAGAAGTTCTTTAGAGATGAGGAAACTAAATGTCATGCCTTTGATGTTTATATTCACTTAGTTCTGTGCTAGCAAACTTGTAGAGGTTTATACAAGCATTCATAATGCCTCAAAGATTTCTTCTGAGCCAAATTTCAGTATGCTTGCTCCAACTATTAGCCAGACTTGCTTTCTCGGGCCAAGGTACATCCACATTATGTCCAGAAAGTTATCTTTATTAATTGCCTGAAGATATATTTGACTGTGTAGCATTGATAAATCCATGTTTGCATATAAATATCAGGAAGGCGAAACAATGATTTACCTTCCTGATAGTGGGGTGGGAAATAAAGGTAGAGGGGTGAAGTGTGGCACACAGGTAAAAAGGAGATAGGCACTGAAATACTAGTAAATGGCAAGCCACTACCTTCACTTCTGTCTTACAAACCAAGAATAACATTTTTATTTTATCCAGTGCATGAGTAAACTACAGTATTGTGTGCCACGTGTATCCATGAGACATGGATGTAGAGGGAAGCAAAGTTTTTCAGTTTGGTTAGAGAGAGTTGTGTCAGGATACACTTGTCCAAGAATACCCAGAGACTATCCATTTTGATGTAAGCTCAAGATTCACTAACTCATTTGTCAGTATTGTCTTTTGTTGCTTGATGTCATAATCCTATAACCTGTGGTGCTGCATTGTGGTAATTTGTTTGTTTATTAGAAATTATGAGCAAAGAACCTATAAATCACTTTTTGTTTCTCTGATACTGAATGTGACTTGTTTGTGGGTAAATGTCAAACGTGTCCTCTTTTGAATAAGCATTTGAACAGATGAGGCAGTTTTAGTCCATTCCAGTTTTGAAACATGCTTATAGAATTTGCACTCTGGGACAAAGCGGTATTCCAAGGAACTTCCGTGTTTGTTGTTTGCTCCTATGTGCAATGGAATTACAAGATTGCCTGAAATTTTGGAGATATGTTAGAAGTATTCCAAATATGTGAGTGGAAGAGAAAAAAAAGTATGTTATTTTCTTGTGTAAAGTACTCTTTAGATAATACGTTTGCCCTAGCCATTTGCTTGCACTCTTGTCTCACTGATCCAAGATGGGAAGAAAATAAGGTTCAGCTTGCACCAGATGCACCAGTCCATGAGGCTGTAGAGTAGAAGACAGGAGTTGCTATAAGGTAGTTGAGGAGAATTTTCAGAACCCATTGGTCTGAGAGAAGCCAAGCTATCTGATTTACAGGAGCAATGGGGAATTTCTGAACAGGAAATAAGCTCGCAAATAAATTATAAAGTATCAGTAAAGTAGTATCCGAGTGAAATGTGATTGGAGTTGGATTATATTAATCTCGTCTGCTTCTTAATCTTATTTTGAGGTAATGGTAGCGTTGCTAAAGGCCATATTTTGGCCTTTTCTTCGTATTCACGATGTGGAGCTACGGATTTTTCTTTCCATGCAGTTTAGTTTAGTGTGTGCTGTTCTGTGAAGGCAATTTCTTGAAGATATTTACATTTTGTGTGTCTGGCTGAGATGATTTTTAAAATTAATTTGCAGATAGAAAGCAAGAAAATCCACTTAAAAAAAATTCAAAAAGATTGAAAATATTTAATTCAGTTAATTTTGGTCTATTAAGGGTTTTCAAATGGAATAGTTGAGAAATTCAGTGCCAACAACTAGTAAGTGGGGATTACTTTTTTTTAAAATATTTAGCTAGGTAGACATACAACGTTTTGTGTTTCTAGTAGGTGAAATGGTGCATGGATGCAACTGCATTCCAACAGTAAAACATACTGGGAAGTAAATACTTGCATATGAATTATGAAATAGAATATTTCAGTTGGAAGGGGCCTACAGTGATCATTCAGTCCAGCTGCCTCTAGTCCAACTGCCTATATGTTCCTTTTCTAATTTCTATGAGGCTATGTCATTACTACATACAGACTGAAAAAAAGGTGAGCATTCGGTGTATTATCAATATTTATACTTAATTAGCTTCTATATATGTTTTGGTTTTCTTTCCTGTTGGTTGCATATATGAGTATCATTTAGTATGAGCCAAACTTCTACTGTAGGGTAGCTAGGGAAAAAACTCATACTGCATTCACCTACAATAAATAGGAGGAAAAAAAAAAAAAAAGTAAATTACCTCTTACCTTTTGGTCTACTTGACCAAATGGATTGGAAAACATCCTTGCAGCCCGGATCCTGCAGTAATGTGTTTGTATGCTTGATCCTATTTATTTCAGATGGCATGAGCTGTAAAATTTTGCCACTAAAATTACTTCAGTATCAGATAAAATCTACAAGTGGCCTCACGCTCACACTGCTATATGTTTAATGTTTAAACTGGCACTTCCAGTTCAAGTCTCAAACTACGAATGTAAATTTGGTGAGTTCTAGGTAAAGACCAGTTAGGGCTTTGTATGCGCATATATGACAGTTATTGTAGAATTTATTAATTCTAAGGAGGATGTATTACATTTTAAGACTGACAGCTGAAATGCCATCAGACTTATTTTTTCTGACAGTATTGAGTGTTTAAAAAAACAAACAAAGACCCATTCAGTTGTTTCTCAAAATCAGAAAGTACCAAATGAGT